GAAGGCGATTGAATGGGTATGAACGTGAACAGGAGTCTACGATATCAATTCAGATCAAAGAAGATGAAATGGCAATGGGCAGAACATGTCATCGTTGGACCAAAGAGATATCGGATTTGGTTCTAAGAATCAATAAACGGCCATTGGGAAGAAGTCTAGATCGATGGCAAAAGGAATCCAGGAAATGTTCTGGATAACGTACGGATACGAATCGCAGAAGACAGAGTTTTGTGGCAGATTCGGAGAGGAACCTTCTTTTACTGTAAATTACGACAAAACAGTTTCTTATATATTCAGACGTTCGTGATTAAAGCCATTTCCTCTCTTGTGACAGCTCAACGAAGGTGGGCGTGCAGCGAATGACTGAATTGGTAGCGACTAACGTTTCCCTTTTAACTACGTAGTTAATTATTGAGTGAATTTTGTAGCAAATGGTTCGTATTTGCGTACAGCGAAAAAAACACTGTCACTCAGTGCTTTTCAACCATTGTCTGTGGTTCCCGTTTCGCCTCAAGTGTTCTTCTTACACATCGTTTTGATTTTCATCAGCTTTAGCGAAAGTGCCTATCATCCGTTGTAATGAATCATGATTATAACTTGCTGCCTGTTAATTGTTTGCTTACTTTAAAGGAGAAATTTGCGGGCAAGAAGCAGCCCATATTCAATACTGCGCTGATAGCGTCTTCGTTCTCTGTACATCGCTGTACGTAAACTTGTCACCGATAAGCGTAAGGATCGTCCTTTTTCAAGCAGTCGTAAAACATTGATAGAATGCAGATCAGCTGAGGTGATGGCGAACTGTCTGTATTATTTTTGATTTACGACGTGAGCTAAAATGAGCCATAAAAATAGGCAAATAAATTTTATGAGCTATAATTATGGGCAAAATAATGAACTCTGAAATGAAGTCAAACCATGGATTTTTTCCCATGCACGGTTTTTTGATCCGTGCTATCGATATCTATTGACAAAGTGTTTTGTTAATACCTTAGGCAATTAGTGTACATGGATTCGTGCTGAAAAGAACAGCAGTTTCTTTATTGAAGGTTAAGTGGTAGCAGGGAAAGATCGTCAGTTGTAGCAGGTGGATGGCGCAGAACTATTACGTCAACGAATTTTGTTTTTTATTACGGTGACTTTCAACTGTTCCATTATCATTTGGCCTGTTTCAGCAAGCTGCTTCGCATACATGACTTACGATTTACCATTGAGTCACCAGCAGGAAGAAAACGACAGTAGTCTTCAACAGTCGCGGCGAGGGTGATTTAAACAAAAATATGTTGGCAACCTCGTCACGTGGTCAAACGGGATATCCTGCTGTACCGATTACGTCTGACTGGCGATAGTTCAGTGAATTCTGCGACAGTGGCACCGGCGAATTACATCAACTGCTGCTGAGGAGCCACATTTAATTCTCGTGAAAACGGCGTAGAGGCAACTCAGTACCCTTCCTACAGACTCCGGGTAGTTTCCAAACTGCGGCACTGTCAGACATGGAAGGGACGTGTTTAGGTGCCTAGTGACATGGCACTCAAGGAGCATTCACAAGGCATAACCTTCATGGTCAAAGTGGTGAAGTCGGGACAGCGAAGGATCATGAGTCCGCAACGCTTAACAAGTCTCATGAGTTTTTTAGGTAGTCATATTCTCTCATACTTTCAAATTAGTCGTTAGCTGCGTAAACGAGTGCAGAAGCAAGAACGCACTACGTCTCATTTTCAACTGTGGACGATCGTTTTGACTACGTTCCGCTATGCAAATCACGATAAAGATTTGAAACCTTTCTAAGATGCTTAAACGAATTAATTGATTGTCTCGATGATTTCATTTTCTTAAAATATTTAAAATAGAGATCTTATATTAGGCAACTTGGCTGCTGAGAACTTTGTATTCGGAGCAGTGAGTACATTGTTTCATCATCGTTGAGAAACATGCCCAAAGTTTTCACCATTAAAGGAATTCTGACCGTTGATTTGCTATCATACTGGAGTATTGCTTCACTGAAGAACAGATGATGAAGCCCATTATGATTCAGTAAGAACCAAATGTTCGTCATTAGTGCATATAGCAGCGGAGGCGACGCCGAAGCCTGAATACTAGAACCTTAGGTTTAGGACTGAATTTTACGTGAGTAAAGTTTACCCGCAGTTCCCCGGGTAAGGATCCAGGAGTGTTCAAGCAAAACACTGTTTACTCCTGTATTTCGCAGACATTAATGCTCTGCTTATAGAAGACAAAACAAATCTCCATCAATGAATTTTCGCCGGTTGTGCAAAAATATTTCTTTATGCTCTGCCAACTAGCGTTGACTCAATTTTGAGGACAAATCGATTTTAGAATTAGCTCAGTCTGATTATGACATAACATACGTTTATAGGATAAAATGGTGTTCAAACTTTCTCCTATATGTCAAAGTCAAGGAAGGTATGTCAAAAAGAGAGGTCATCATCTGGGCGTTAAAAAAGCAACATATGGTGTTTCTAAGTTTCTAAGTGGAGCTTCAGATCTGGCACCACTTGACTCTAGCTGAACATAACTTCTAATCATTGCCCCTAGCAGCTAAGCTAAATAAAGAGGAAATCGATTACAATACACCAAAATTGTTCAGCTGATGTCCGTACACTGGTCTTGTATTAAAATTCTAGTGCCATACTTACAGAACTTTGGCGATTTTCTAATTTTATCCGTAATTGATTGTACAAAGAAGATGGACTGAAATGCTAAGTTCATTTGGTCTGTATTGTGTCTCTGTCCACTGGTAGTTTGGCATGGATAAAAGGCATTGATCTTCAGAGG